TCTAATAATATTTTTAAAACGAACGAATTTGGAGCCACACCACGGCCACGCGATGTGAAGCGACGTAGCCGGTTGTTCACATTTATAAGCAAATTCCCGGTCAGACCCAAGACAATTGGATATGAAAATACTAGTCGCAGTGGATGTTTGAAAGTCAGAATTTCTAGATGCATATATAGCCATGAAATTTATAATTTAGATTTTATTTTTATTATTTGTCTCTTAATATTCATTAGCTGAAAATAAGGGTAAAGGTTATCTATATAGTAATAAATAAAATTTGGCACATAGGTTCCTTAAGTGATGTAAATGAGCACTAAGAAAGGATTTTTTGAAAATTCGACCGCTAACGGGGTGAAATTAGGGATGAAAAGCTGCATAAAAATTTGTTAAAATCTGGTTTAAGAGTATGAAATTTTTCACGAGTGCTCCTTGACTAACGTAATTGAACACTAAGGGGCAATTTTTGGAAATTCGCTCGTTAAGGGGGTGATATGGGGGGTACTTTTGTATACAAAAAAAGCATGTCCTAGGACTACGAAATTTTGCACAGAGGTGCCTTAAGTAGCGTAACTTAACAGTTCGATTATACAAAGCGATTTTAGGAAATTCTTCTACTAAGGGGTGAAACTGGGGGTGAAATTTTGCATATTTTTTTAAAATTAGTCCGAGGAGTTTGAAATTTGGAAATTGTTAATTAAGCGACGAAAGTGAGTACTCAGAAACGAATTTTGGACATTCATCCCCTAAGAAATAAGGGATGAAAATTGGTATAAAAATTTGTCAAAATCGGTTTTAGAAGTATGAAATTCTGCGTAGACGTTCCTTATGTAACTTAATTTAGCACTAAGAGGCAATTTTAGGAAATTTTCCCTCTAAGGGGGTGAAATGAAGGGTGAACGTTCTGAAAAAAAATCTGTCCTAGAAGTATGAAAATTTGCACAGAGGTTCATCAAGTGATGAAAGTTATACTCAGAAGCGAATTTTGGGCATTCATCCCTTAAGAAATAAGGGATGAAAATATGTACAAAAATTTGTTAAAATCGGTTTTAGAAGTATAAAATTGTTCGCAGACGTTCCTTATATAAGGTAATTTAGCACTAAGAAGCAATTTTTCGAAATTTTCCCTCTAAGGGGGTGAAATGAGGGGTGAACTTTCTGAAAAAAATCTGTCCTAGAAGTATGAAAATTTGCACAGAGGTTCCTCAAGTGATGAAAGTGAGTACTCAGAAGCGAATTTTAGGCATTCGCCCCATAAGAATTAAGGGATGAAATTTGTACAAAAATTCATTAAAATCGGTTTTGGAAGTATGAAATTTTGCGCAGACGTTCCTTATGTAACGTAATTTAGCACTCAGGAACAATTTTTGGAAATTCGCCCTCTAACGGGGTGAAATGAGGTGTGGACGTTCTGAAAAAAATTGCTTGTTATTACTAAATTACGTTACATAAGGAACAAACAGAATTTCATACTTCTAAACCCGATTTTAACAAATGTTTATACAAATTTTCATCCCTTATTTCACTCTCTTAAGAGATGAATGTCCAAAATCCACCTGTACAAAATTCCACACTCGTAGGACTGTTAGTTTTAACTAACAATTTATTAAAGTGCAACTATATAAAAATTATACAGGGTGGCGCCTCTCATATGACTCGGAGGCTCCAAGGAGAACGACCAATTCGTATTGAAATGAAATTTTGTGATCATATGTAAGTTAATTCTGCGTACGTTTTAAAAATATAGAGAGTTCTACAGGGTGTCCCCAAAAAAAGTTACACATCAAATTTGTATTTTTTTGTAAGGGAATACCCCCTTTATTAATTAATTTTTAGATTCTAAGAGAAAAATAAAGGTGTGTTTTATTAGGGAAGTATATGACTGAAATGTAAGGTTTTAGACTTACTTAAGATTTTGAAGAACAATTTTTAAATTTCAAGAAAAACTACCTAAATTGGAATTTACTCTATTGCACTTTAAATCAAATTAAAACCTGACCCATAAAGTTATACAGGGTGGGGCAAAATTAATGTTGAACATTGGTATAACCTGTATAACTCCTTTAATACCCACCCTGTATAAATCCTTTAGTTTAATTGAATCACCCAGAATATTATTCCGATATTCAATGGGAAATTCATGTCACTTCCAAATACTATTAAGGTTGCCGGCCTACCCCTCAAACAAAGATTTTCCTAGATATTTTCATTTCTATGATTTAGTGTGAATAGATCTTTATTATTTGATAAAATCTAGGGTGGCTGTGATATGTCTGACGTTACTTCAACATAGCTGTCAAATTAGTTCAACTTTAGCAACTAGTTATCATTTTGTGTCAGTTCGTCAGTTGAAACAAAAAAAAATCTAAGAAATTTTCCGAAAATAGAAACTTATCCTACATCAGAGAGAATTGATATGATTCTATTAGTTAGCTCCTGATTTTATCTAGTCTGGGCTTTTTTATTTGATTAACATATATCAAATAAAAAAGCCCAGACTAGACAGTGTTAACAAAACTCGACCAAACCAAACCAAACTATTGTCTGAAACTGCATTTTTTTACTTACTAAATATGAATTTTACTTTGTTTTGTTGATCTTTGAAAGGTGTATAAAGTCGAATCATTTTAGATTGGACATTTAAATTTTATGGGATTTTCGGGATCCCGGAATTTAATATCGGGATTTCGGAGATAAACATACACGCCGCCGGGATCCTGGGAGTTCGGGATTTCAGGAAACTCTAGTCGTGAGATTAATGATGTACAGATGCATGTCATGTTGATTTGGAAGTGACAATCGATAAGATTTATCATATAATTTTACATACCTATTAAACGACAGCGATCTTCATTTCCAAGCCCACTCCCATGCCTTTTTTTTCTATCGTACGGTATATTCACTAACTGCATTACCTACTTATAATTTATAACAGTTTATATTCACTGATTCATTTATAATTTGTATCCACTTAATATTACTTGATTTATCCATCGTAAACTTTGCATAGATATAGAAATATAACGATGGACAACTCTTAATGTGTTAAATTATACCCTACGATCGAAAAAAAAACGGCGTCCGATTGGTTTGGAAATGACGATCGATGACATTCCCCATATAATTTTACATATCAAATGACAGCGATCTTCATTTCATAGCCATCGCTGACGCCGTTTTTTTTTCGATCATACGGTATATGGTAAAAGCCATCGATCACCATTTCTAAGGTAACTTAACGCCGTATTTTTACATACAAAATGTGCAAAAAAATTCTATATGAATGAACTCACAATTTTCTATCCACTTTGTACATAAATTAGGATCTCTTGACGCATGAAACTTAAACACATGTACACCTGATTTCCGAGAAATCTACAATTGTAAAATTGACACTTATTACCAGATATTTTAATAATAATTATCACTAATCACACAGTTGTAATCAAAGACAGTCAAAGGTATATAGTATATTACCATCACAGATTACCATATATTACCCGGCTTTTAAAATATCCATTAAAAACAAAAAACAGTAACGACATATCTAAATATTCTATCCTTGTCGCATATGGTTCGTTCCTGTATTATTCTGTGATAAGGGAAGGAATAGAGATTTTCTGTGATAAGTGGTAAAGCTAGGTTTTCATATGTACAAATTTGGCAAACTTTCCAGGAAATTCGGTCATATTTTTATTATAAAATTATTTATCATAAACAAATTTATTGTAAAAAAAAAATTTGAACGTATATTCAAATTTTAAACGTTTCAATTAATAAATAACGTAAATCACTTTTAAATTAAATTTAAGAAAAAAAAATCAAAATTAATAAAACGTAAATCACTATAACAAATCATTATTTTAATTTCAAATTTATATTTCGAAGTTATATTACAAGTTATTTACTGTTGTCTTAACAGAGTATATCAAGACAAATGCGAAACTTTAAGGGGTGTATTCTTTGTTATTTGTCAACATTTTTAAAATAAGCTGAAGAGGTTGAAATAAACTATTTCTAATATTCGTTAATTTGACAAAAAACTGGAGCAACGGTATGGAAAAAATGGTTAGATTTGTATATTTAGAACGTTTTTATGACTTGCAATTTTTCCATTAAATTCATTATTTGAAGTTAAAAATAAAATGTAAATCATTATGTATTGGGACCAAAAAAATATTTTAGCAAAGAAGCTGTTCGCCTTAAAAACAGTTTTATTTTCTACTACTGTAAAATATTTTTACAAACGACATATAAAGATAATTGATTGACAAACATGTTTTAAGCTACCCTTCCTAAATCTTCCTTAAAATAAAAAGATTAACAGATGGGAATACATATTATACCGTATGATCGAAAAAAAACGGCGTCCAGTTGGCTGGGAAATGGCAATCGATGACATTTCCCATATAAATTTACATTTAAAATGACAGCGATCTTCATTTCATAGCCATCGCTGACGCCGTTTTTTCGATCAAAAGCTCACTAGATTGTTTTCTAGTAAAAAAGACCTTATTTTGTCACAACAGGTGACATTTTTTTTTTAAATCAAGTAGGTTTTAAAAAAACTACAATAGGTAAAAAAGTTTCTAAACAAATAGAATATCCAAATTAATTTATTTCCAATGACAATAATGTGTAAGTTTGTAATTAAAGTTAGTTAATAAGAATAATAGGTGTAGTATATTTCAACATCATTAACTGGTTTTAAAAACAAAAAAATATGCATGTGTTTTCATAGTATAAATATGAATTGTTCCTTACGTTAGTTCTTATTGATATAAAAGCAAAAAAGTATAAAAATTAAAAGCTGCAATTTTATTAAAAATATGTTATTCTAACACATATTTTTTTAACTCTAATGTTCTAAATTGATCAAAATATAAATGTTATTTTTTTCCTAGGAAAAATAAAACTTCATAACTTAATTTTCATAAATAAATTTATTTCTATTAAATTTTATAGAGCAATTTGTATTACAGTTTTATTTCATATATTTTGTAATACTGCTTCGGTGCAGTGCCCCATTGCTATCTGTGAGTTCATTTAAATTATGACGACATTACTGATCTAGAAGATAAAAATGTACCTAAGTACATTAATATTATAATCAAAAATGGCTAATTTTCTAAATTATTACCTATAATGGTTAGATGAGTTATGAATGTAAACTTCTTTATGCTGGTTTCTTGAAGTTAGGTGATATTAATTATCTTCGCATCATCATGGGCTCTAATCAACTGTAGAGTATTCGTCAATCAACCTGAAATATGTAATATTATTTACTTTATATTTACGAAAAATTATCATTTTCTTTTTATGAAAATTTTGAGTTTAAATTTATAGGTAATATTCTATATATTACCTGTGATTTTATGCTAAAATGTTTAGTTTTGTGAAAATATTACTTACCTATAATATTTAAACGAGTTCCTGAATGTACAATTTGTTTATCACGATGTCAAGTTCTAAATCTTGTATTGGTTGTCTAAAACTGTTTGATTTTGCTTAGTTTTTGCTATATTGTATCCTATATTTTATTAAACAAACTCAAAATAATGCTTATAATTACCTTCATCAGCCTTCATATCATTAAAGTTATTATTATCACTTATCATTATCAGTCATTATGTAGTTATTCGTTCATTTGTTGCTTTGTTTGTTGTTGTTTGTTTTCATAGATCATTTTTGAGGTTAATGTCATATGAAACTTTTCGTAATTAGGCAACTGGTAAATGACGCATGACGATAAATTAATAAAATAATAATGAACGTATTAAGTTAAATATTTATATATTAATTTAACATATCTATTTCATGTTTATAAATTACATCATTTTTAATTTGGTATGCCTTTAATTTTATATATTCATAATGAAATGAAATATATTTCGATATAACGTTTGGCAACCACGCAACTGAAGTGCAAGCGACATCTGTGCAAGAGAAGCAAAACCTCCCAAAAAAGTGAGAAAAGAAATCTTAAAATTTCAGATTATTCAAATGTCACTCCAATATTTTTCCAAATTGGAGTGAAATTAGGGTGACAATTTTTAACACGTAAGGAGCCATCTGGATTATGTGTTATCTGTGGTGTTATATTAATTTTTGAAATTTTTTCTATAAAGTGTGGTGTGTTTTTAATGTATGAATCGGTGTTATTTGCAATCGGATTTAATATGTCCAGTAAAAATTTTGCTAACGCATGGCATTTTTCCTGTTTCACCGGAAATGGCTACAACTTTTGATTAACTTAACTTCTGACAAGCAGCGTCCGTTCAGGTTTAACGCAGAAGTGTTTACAAAAAATAGCTATTTTATTTTGTTTGATAGATGAATCCGCCACATAGGTATAGACATTTTTTATGTTTTGTATTATCTTTTGTTTGTTTGTTTGTATACCTTGCTTTTGTTTGTTTACTTTGTTTGTTTAGTTTACCTGTCTAAAAATTGAAAAAGTTATATACATTCGGGGTTTGCAGTTTTGTTCAAAATAATTATGTTTATTACTTTAGCTTCACAGTTCAGTTGTTTGTACTTTCAATAATACGAGAAAATCAAAAAATATATACGTTTTTAATTTCTATGTTTTTTTTAGCCCAGTGCATGTTTATCAAAAATTCCTAAAAATGCGTTTTACTTTATTTTTGTGTCCCTTCTTATTAATTTATTGAAAATTAATGATATTATTAATTCACAAGTTTGAATATATTGTAAACAGTGTTAAAATAACAAACTTTTTATAAAATATCTTCGCCATCTATTTTTAACTGAAAAAAACAATTGGGGTCTATCGGACCCCAGAACGCCGTAAGCGGTACAAAATTTCACCACGCCAGTTGAGACTTAAAACGACGCCTTTGCTTTTGGTCCTAATCTATACTAATATCCTTGTTTATATATTCTTAAAGTTGCCCAATCGACTAGACAAAATGTGCTGCCAACTGGAGGACAAATCGTGAACCTTTCGGGGCGGAGTAAAAAATATCGATTATTTTCGTTATTTTCCTCAGAGTAATGTAATGATATAGCCCAGGGTTTCTGCGAACTTTAATAGTGATCAGCTGATTAAGAAATTTAAACGAAACTTTTATTTTATTGTAAATTGTGGATTATTTTTGCCTGTTATTTTAAGAATTCCAGACCGTATTAACAAAGAAATTATTATATCGATATGTTGGTACATTATTTATAATTTATGATAATGCTAATTGCTGTTAATTAATATTTAAAAAAAAAGTTACATACCTATTTTAATTTGATTTAATGCAGGTTTATAAAAGAATCATTTCATTCTTAGATTATTTTATTCTAAATTGAGTGCTTTACGAATTTTATGATATTTTTTTTGAAAACATGAAACTTTTTACATTTTTGATGCCAACTAATTGGCATGGTATTATTGGTATGGAAATTAGCCAAGAAAGAAAAGAATTGGCTATAACTTGTAATTTTTCGAAAAAAAAAACATATTATACCTATATCGCTAAAAACCTTAAAAAATGGCGCTTTTTAAGAAGTCATGGCCAACTATGGTTTCCATTTAAAAAAACATAATGTTTGTGTCATATGTCAAAAATGACAGGCTTTAGAAAAAAAAAACAGAAAACACAAGCTCATTAGGTATGTGATTATCTACAACTTTTATCTGAAAACTTTTTGTCTAAAATACCGTATGATCGAATAAAACGGCGTCAGCGATGGCTATGAAATGACTATCGATGATATTTCCCATATAATTTTACATATAAAATGACAGCGATCTTCATTTCATAGACATCGTTGACGCCGTTTTTATTCGATCATACGGTAGATTATAATGGAATTAGAGACAAAAGTTTTAAAATAGCCAAAATTTGTTTTTTTTCGAAATATCTAGTAAGCCTTGAACTTCTCCGAAAAATCCAAAAGGCGCATATTTATGACCCCACAAAACTGCAGTTCTTTCCCCATTTAACCGACTCTCTATCTCCAGTCTCCAGTAGTTTCCGAGATACCCATAGAGAACATCGTAGGAAACTCACCCTGTGTAGTATTTAGAAACTAACTATTATTATTATTTGACTAGACTAATTTGATTAATAAGACTCGATTAATTTAATTTAAAATAAATTTGATCAGATTTTTTCTTCGTATATTCTACTACCAGAAAACCAAAATTATATGATAATGCATTAATCTAATTTTACACTACAACCACTACAAAGAAGTAAGAACATTTTTTAAAACTAGAAGAAACAGAAATTCGATACGTGCGACCAGTATAATAGATCAAGCGGACAAAGAATATAAAACATTTTAAAAATGTGCATTCAGAAAGAAAAAATATCTCGAAAATTATCTAAACAAACATTTTTTTTTTCTCATCAGTGAAAAGCATCGGCCTCGTCGGCTTTGCGGAATTTGTCGGGTATTTACAATGGTCGAATTGTATAATTGGTTGAGCTACTTTAAAAATCCATATACAAGGCTAATATATAAAATCCTTAAGTGACTGACATACTGATTAATCACGATCCTGCTCAAACCACTCAACGTAAGAAGATCAATTTTGGCATACAGGTTGATTCTAGGGTGTAGAGGTTCGATAAGAAGGGATTTTTCGAAATTCCAGTTCCAAGAGGGTGAAACCACCCCTCAAATATTTTTTATTTAAAAAACGGTCAAGTTTCCGAGAAAACGCTTAAACACGTATATTTTATTTTGTTTTTTTACATATTTTAAGATTTTTTAAAAATGTATACAGGGTGTTTTGAAAAATCTGGTCATTGATTAATCACGATCCTGCTTAAAGCGCTTGACGTAAAAAGCTGATTTTTGGAAAATAGATTGACTTTAGGGTGTAGAGGTTCGATAAGGAGGGATTTTTCGAAACTCGAATTCTAAGGGGGTGAAACTATCCCTCAAATATTAAAATATTTTTTATTTAAAAACCGGTGAGTTTTTTGGAAAAACTCTTAAACAAGTATATTTTATTTTGTTGTTTTACATATTTTAAGATTTTTTATAAATTTATACAGGGTGTTTCATAAAATATGACCATTGAGTAATCACGATTCTGCTTAAACTACTTGACGTTTAAAGCTGATTTTTGGCAAACGGATTGACTGTGGGGTGTAGAGGTCAATTAGTCAAGTCAATGCTCATGCATCTGTAGATGTTAGTAATGTATGGCAATCGCTTCTTTGATTTTAAAGAACATTACATAAATAAACATAACATACGTGAAATTTAAAAATAATCATACAGAAAGTTTGGGCTTTTTGGTTTTATCTTATTAAGTAATTATCCGGTAGTAATTGTTAATTTCGAAGTTTAACGTAATATAATGTCATTTTAACAGAACGTCAACGATTTCTTGTAGACGTATCTGTTATAAAAAGTAAAGTGTTCTCGAATAGCTCAATTTAAATATTTTAAATAGTATTTTTCTTGATTCTTTATGTTTTTTTGCTTCCGACGACGGAAAGAGAAAACTTTCCGAAACGTTAAGCATTTTTTTCTTTGTTAGGCAAATTTTTATTACTGTAAACACAACTTCTGACAAGCAGCGTCCGTTTAGGTTTAACGCAGAAGTGTTTACAAAAAATAACTATTTTATTTTGTAGATTTTTCTTCGAAAAACCCATAAGGATTTTTTTGGATAAATACAAAACATTATACAAATAATATTGTCAGTCTTATTGTTTAAAATAATCATTTACAAATGTTTACAATGTCAAAGAACAAAAAAATAAAAACAACATTCAAAATATTTAGCTAGTTTATAGTAAATATCAATGACCTCTAAATATTTTTTTTTCGATGTCATTAGTAAAGAGTAAATAAAGAGTTCAATGCTTTGCGAAATAAAGAAAACGATGTTATGGATTTGATTTCAAATGGCAGGTGATTGTGCATTTTTTTCGAGTTGTATAATATTGAACTTTTAACTAACTCTGAGCGTGGGGTAGGTAGATAAAGATCTTGCTCCGCGTTCCTGAGTGGATAAGTGTGAGATGATGGCCTTTCTTGACAAGCTGATACATGCTTAGGCAAACGGATTCAAATATAAATAAGGAAGAAAGAGTCAATATTTTTAATTTTTTAAAAAAGTCCTGGCAATGAGTTCTGCTGTTTAGTCCCAGTGAATATCGAACAGCTCCCTTCTGGAGTTTAAAAATGCGGTCAAATTGAGTCGCAAAACACGTACCCTAGAATGGAAGGGCATACCTGAGGTGCGACTCAAAAAGTGCGTAATAAACAGTTCTAGCCACTGACAACTAAAGCTCCTTAGAAACAGATCTTAATGCAAAACAGGCAGAGCTCAATTTTTTCGACAAAGCTTCGATATGTATGTCCCATTTCAGAGAATTGTAAAGTTTAGGTATTATTATATTATAATACTTGGTATTTATCGATAAACTTACATGATTATGATATCATGAAAGTTAATTAAAAAACATTATTTTAGTATTATTACTATTTTATTATTTTCCATTTCTCTTGCTTTAAAATTTTCTCCATTATATCTTAAGTATTATTTCTATGTGTACGTACATTCATCCAACATTTTATTGTTGCTAAGGCCGTTATTTTGCCATTTTACGCGATACGAGACGGAAGCAACCGAAATTATTTATGTCAAAGTTAGGAGAATTGACGTCGATCGTA